AAAAATAGGGGAGGAGGAGGAGGAGATATTTAAGGTAAAAAATCCCTTCATTTGCAATTCGAATTTTGAAAATTAAAATGTATGAAGACGTTTTTTATATAACGAAAAGCAGAACCCATTTTCCTAAACGGCTCTACCCCCGATACGGGGTTCTTCCCCACCGAACACGTCACGACAATCACGACGCACGTGCAACTACGCGTGCCGTGTTTCAGAAATAACGCCAGATGCCGAAACAAATTCGAAGGAGGCTACAGGAGATGTTTTATGCCAGGACCGCCTCGTTGTCCTTGTCCCCAAATTAGGACAGTTGTGTCCTCGCCCCTTGGCTCGGGAGACACCCCCTAAATACCCACGCATTTAGATAGTAGAATCCCTAATTTTCTATTTGAAGGGTTCAACCCTAAGAAAACACACAAGGAACTTTGAAGACACGACGTGGCCTAGAGATAGAAAGATATGAAGAATGAACTGAATTTTGGATGTCGTTTATCACCTATAAAGGCAAGGCTGTATCAATCATAGGTCTACTAGTGATTAAATAAGTGATTATTATTATACATTTATACACACGACTGTACGAAATTCCCCTCCCCCGAGGCAATAGAAGAGAATTGAAGTCTGTTACGTTAGTTTGACTTTAATGGCACGAGGGGAGCCTCCTGATTCTATGCCATTAAACTCTTCTAATGTATTTCAAAGTATTTATTACGAGTAAATGATGAATCAATTTAAAATTTTAAAAACGTAAACTATGATTACTTTCTCATAAATCAATATTTTATTTTTATTTTTACTTGTATTTGTATTCGTGTCACAGGCCAGACTCGAATGGGTATCTTCGATTTCCTCCTTTCTCTTCGCATAATTATCGAGTTATTACGTATATTTATGTATAAAATTACACAATTTTAATGTGTAAATGTAATAAAAATAAATCAATCGTCCATTATTTCGAAATTTTGTGGTAGTTCCTCTGAAGACCCTTCGGGTTGTAACCTGAAGGATTCTTCAGAGCAACAGAATATTCGAGTGAAAAATGGTGAGTAATTTATGGAATATTTAAAGGAATTTATTATTTATCAAGGAAAAAAAACTGTAAAGAAGGTCTAGGCATAGTTAACTAAACAAGTTTTAATGTATAAGTGAAGGAAGAATAAGTTACTCGTCCATTATTTCGAAATTTTGAAGCAGCAACCTAATGGCTTCGACAAGGTTTCTTATAGACACAGAATATTTTAGTGAAAAATAATGAATAATTTATAGAATATTCAACGTCGTGTACTATTTCTCAAACTGTAAATAAGGTCTAGGCATAGTTAACTATAGAAATTTTACCGTATAGTTTGAAGAAAGTATCCATTATTTCGAAATATTAGTAGTAACCTGATGATTTCTAATGTATACCTACAGAATATTCAAGGGAAAAAAATAATGAATAATTTATAAAATATTCAACGGCATTTATTATTTCTCAAGGAAGCAAACTGTAAATAAGGTCTAGGCATAGTTAACTAAACAAATCTCATTCTGGCTACCGGTTTGAAGTCGCTCGTTTCGCTAAGAATGGAGACAATCTATCCCCAGGCATTACTTGTCGACAAGAAAAGGCTTATAACAACTCATCCTTGACTGGACGAGAAACAATACATAATTAAGCACTCTTCCTCCGCCCTTCCTCGTTTTCCTTCGTAATTACATTTCTCCCCAGTTGAAGAATCGTAATCGAATTAGAGATGCATCATTGACCTTTCTCATGCGACTCGTAATGATTTAATATTAAAACTACTAGTGTGAATGCGGAAAAAAATTCAATTATAATGACCTTACAGTTCAATTATCTTTGATTTAATCAATGATATTTTATAACCCCAATGTCTTAATTTGAATACACTAGTTTTTGCACAATGAATCGTTGATTACCTCAATCTACAATGAGTAGAAAAGCCACCGAATTAGTCTTCTAGAACAGTAGTTCTCAACCGGTCGTACGCGTACCCCAATTGGGGGGGGGGGGTGGCATGAACGTTCGGGGGGGTACGCGCGTGAAGAAGGTTAGAAAACAATAATTGATAGAAATGATATAGTCAAAGAGGGTGCACGGATGTAGGACGTTACGCCATGTGCACACCTCATAGATTTAGGGGTGCTCAGGGCGATTCTCCATAGTGTACTAAAATGGCTGCACCCCTCTAAAGATTTCTGGATCCGCTAGTTATATAAATTTTACAATTATAATATTAAAATAACCCCCCCTAAAAACTGCCTAAAATTCGAAAATGTACAGATGAAAATCGTCATTAAGTATAACGTAATCTATTGCCATCTCGTAACTGTTGAGGCGAATGGAATGGGGGCGAAAACAGGTTCTTTTTTTTTTGGTAGAGTAATTGAGCGAAAGTAAGAGTCAGAAACTCTAAATTAAAAGATTGATCCCGGTTACACCGGATGAGATAAGATCGCTTTCGATACCTGTAGTGCACGTTGATTCCCATGAGGGGAACAAGAATGCTGACTTTCTAATGAAGTTCATGCTTAAACAACTGAAGCTATCACATCCCGATCATTACTATTATTACTTATATTTATGTTTAATTAGATTTACTCCATCACATAAATCAACCTTATTTATAAAGACAGTATCAACACAATTAATTTTAATCAAAAGTTGATAAATTTGATTCCATTGTTAGTCGTTTTGTATTCAAATTATTTCTTGTGTGAAGGGAATATTAATGAGTTTCTTCGGTATCTTTATTTCCTATAATGTTAAATTGCTATAAAAAATAACTACGCTTCCGAAATTCAATTATCTCGTAACATCATAAACCAGGTTTCTGACCTTTAAAGTCCTCGTGCCACTTTGGATTAGAGCCAATTCGAGTGCATGACAAGAATTTCAAAGTACAAAATCCTCGTCTTTCCAACACCCAATTGCAGATTGGGTGTAGGAAAACGAGGATTTTATACTTTGAAATACCTCTACAATTTTTGATTTTTGAAATTTCCTTCATCTTCTACAGCAAATTGGGTGCAGAAGATGCGAGAAATTTCAAAAGAAAAGGGTGTAAATCACACAAGAGAAAATAATTCGAACGGGTTTGCGGGATAGAAACGTGTAATTCATGGAGGAAAGAAGTCGCGGCATCGAATGTTCTCAAGATAGATGAGAAAATGATGCCGTGACCGTAGCCAATAAAGATGAGAATTAGCCAAGTATTTGACCTCTAACCTCCACTCATTATAAGGTCATCGTCCCGCGGTGTCAGTCACGAACTATGGCCCAGTCCTCCCCCGCATCTTTTACTTCCGGGTGACTTCCAGACTAGTCACGAGAAGAGGGCGGAATGGATGATTCCGTGTCGTTCACGATGTCCGGGTTGCATCCATTCCTCTTACCCACATCCTAATCTAAACAAAGATATACATTAGGGTTATTCAGTATGGCGAACGAGGGGGGTGCTAGATACTTTCTCTACTAAAAAAAAAAAAAAAATTCTAGAGAATAATCTTTATCCAGGGAAACATAAGTTATGTCGGGCGGGGTTCTTTGACCGGAAAGGGGCGTTGTTCGCATGGGTGCGATCCTGGCAGGGGGTAATGGGCAGGTGTAGGTGGAAGATGAAAAGAAGCGGTACCCCTCTCAACTTGGGTGTGTTCTTACAATTATACGATTTCGTTTAAAACAAAAAAGAAAATGTGTGGAAGCTGCACCAAAATAAAGAATTAATCAATAGAAACTGAAAGGAACCACGTAGATAATCAAATTTCATAGAGAATCCATTGCATAATTCTGAACATCAGCGCGTTGTAAGTTACTCAAGATATTATTAAATATTTACGTAACTCGTAATAAAATCATGAAAAAAAATACGAATATTGTTGTATTTAACTTGTTAAAGAGTAGAACAAATAATATTACATCATAATTATCAAAGTACTGACGCAAAAGGAGTAACAATAGACATTTGCGTCAGTAATTAGACAGCAATGGTGCAATATTATTTGAGCGGTTCTAAGAAATTTGTATGGACGAGGTTTTCTTTTTTTTTCTTATTAAATTAAAAAAAATGTATGTTTTCTTGAACGTGGCTCGTGTGTAGGACATAAGAGACACACGTGAAGGATCTCAACGGAAGTCGAATCATAAACGATGCTACCGTGCGTGTTCCAAATGTAATTTGCAATGGTTTTAAAAAAGAAAAGATGCAATAAGTTCTGATCCCGAAAGTTATGCTAGTGAAAGCGTCACATACGTTACGATACGAACTAGGTATTTGTCTCAGCAGTTGGTCTTCTTGACCACCCAGGAGGAGATGGACTAGAATCGAGGAGGGAAACGGATTTGACAAGATCCCTCGCCGTTTCTTTCTCACCCCATAGCTCATCGGCAATTCACCTCTACGCCCATAGCTAGTCAAGAACGATATAATGAACGACCGATGTAAACAAGAATTTTTCAGTTTCCGAACGACCCCATCCCTTAAGGCGAGTCCAACTGTGACTGTCAGGTATTTTCCCACGCGATCTAAGGTGGACGGGTTTTCCTATCTATCCTCCCATCCTCCGGGCTTATTTATCCCCTCGAAAAGAAATGTATCTTTGTTTTAAGCGCTTCTCCAACAGCCACTGTCGTATTTATACTTGCATACCACGCCGTGTTTCTCATATTTTAACGGTTTTTCCTTTAGGGATTTCGGGTATTTCGTGTATACAACCGTAAATTTCACAAATTAATTAGTGTTATTTGCAAATTACCTACATTATACACTAAATTATCTTAGAAATCGATACATTATCCAATGGTCTCTTACGCTCTTCTACATCGGATATCCAAAGATTGGGTTCTAGAATTGATCTAGAAGAGCGTAAACTGCTAACTTTAAACTTAAATAATGTGTAATTTTATTCGGTTTTTTCGTGTTAGAATTTGTGGTAAACGTCAAGAACTCGCTTCTTTGTAGTGTTAAATCTTTATAATCAACATAAAGGACACTCACCGGCTCCTTTGTTGAGTCGAAGATCTATGCAGTTTGGACTTTGTACGGGTGAATTGTTGGACGATTCTAGACGAGTGAGATGAGTCAACGATCCAGAAGACTTGCTCTTGTTCACAGACAGGTCCACGGGCTCCATTTGTACAGGTGGACAATCGGCCTGAGGGAAAGTGCATGTCATATAGTAGTAGTAATAATATGCAGGCAAGAAACAAAAATCTGTCAATCTGAAATCCATATTGGAAGTAGACGAGACGTCTTTCTAAATATGAAAGCGAGATACATCTGTCACTAAACTTCCTGAAGCACTTTTCGATAGCTAAAATTAACTCTCCATATGTCGTTATAACCTGACCAAGTGGGTCGTGGGCCCCCCTTAATCGATTCGAAATTCTTCCTCCCCATCTGGGAAGTATCGGTGGTCACCAGATGCCTACCGGTCGTGTCTATAATCATAAGCAATTATAGGGCATAAAGAGTTCGATCGGGCGCTCGAACGGTTGAAGGGGGCGACGTCCCACTGACCCTCGAATCATAAAAAATCAACTGACGTCACAATAAGACAGCCACACACGAGCGACGAAGATGTCGTTTCGCTTGGAATAAGTGGGTCTCGTTATAACTCGGGTCAAAGTTCGAACTGTTGAACCCGATTTCGTCGTAGCATTTTAATGCCACTTCGATACGGTATTTAAAAATGAATATAAATACTAAAAAAAAAGTACTGTTTTTTTATATTTTTATTATTATTATTATTTTTAATGCGATTTTTTCTTTTAATAGAAGGAGAAAAAGTCATTTCCTAATTGCCACTTTGGGTATAGACGTGCGACTTTGGTCCAAAAAATGAGGCCTGCCTTGGCAGGTGGACAATCGAGATCGAGGTAAAGACTTTCTCTTGACAAGAGAGGAAACAATGCGGATCTTTCTACTTGAATAGCTTTTGTCCAGACCAAGTGAGGTTGCGGGTATCGCACTTATGTCTGTGAACAGATGATGGCCGCAAATTACAGGGCAACGCCCCGTATGCTTTTGTCCGAAATTTTAGCCTAAAATTATCGAAGGACCTCAAAGAAATCGAGAAAGAGAAGGCCGAAGTAGGGGGGAACGAAAAAATCTTTTGTCCCTTATTTGTTTATTGTGACCGATTTCCTGTTTCCATATAATACAATGTTCCAAAAATGGGAAAAACCGGATAGTTTGTACGTTTCTTCTCTTTAAAATAATAAATCTAGGAGGGGGTCGGGGGGCGAAAACGTTGCCAAAGAAGAACATTTATTAAATAATCTATCGAATAATACATTTTGTTTACGGTAAATTATTAAACTTTACTAGATCACACGCTAGATTTTAAACAGAAAACAATATTGTTTCCATAGGGATTTCCTAAAATGAACATCCCATGTGAAGTAGTTGACCCATATTTCAAAGGGATTTTAAAAAGTGAAGGCCGAGCCAAATACTGATCAAAGATTATTTTAGAGGCTACTATTCGAGGTTACAATATCTTGGACATTAACTAGACTATTATTTTAACTGTTTTATTTATTTTTTTTTCTTCTCCCTTCTCCGCCATTAATTATAAATGCAAAAGAAAAATAATTTACCTATTTTTAAATTTAATTAATGACGGCATATATTTTCATGGATAATTTACATGTTTTTCTCTCATTTAACTTCGAAAAACCTTCGGTTCAAGCATATTTTACTCTTGTTTTCCAGTAATCAATTGTTTATTTATGAACTTAACACAGTCGGTTTGAATAGAATGACATCTTAAACTTATCATTTATCACTTCAGTTTAGGGAAATTCCCCTTTTGTTTTAGTTTCTCCGCTTCTTTCCAGAATTTTTAACAAGTTTAGGGATTTTTTTTAAATTAAAGGGTTGGATATTATATACAGAATTTCCCTGTAATACAGTTCTAAAGTTATAGCACTCATTCTTATATACAAGTCTACCCCCCATAACACTGTTGATTATTCCGTTTTATATGAATTCCATGTTGTACGAGTCACTTAGACTTTACAAATACGTGTACCGGGCTGTGAACGGCTCACGTATTTGTAAAATCTAAGTGACTCGTACAACATGGAATTCATATAAAACGGAATTATCAACACTGTTATAGGAAGGTCGACTGTACTCACTAATAGTAACATACAATCACTAATTATTCACTATATACACACTCACAGCAACATACTAATACGTTATACACTCACTCATAATAAAGCACAATCCTTCATTACTCATTATAGTAAGTGTATTATTACGAATACTCACACACTCATAACAATAACATACACTCATTCATTACTGTAATAACACACACGCTTATACGAACATACTCATTCATTATTCATCATATATGTATTCATAGTAACGTATACACTCATTAATTATAACACTCGTTTCGTTATATGAAAGAGTTTAAAATCATAACAATTTGAATATTTAAAAATTCACTCAAGGGGGGTAAAATAATCAAATTTTGCTTTGTGTAATCCATTAAAAATAAGATTGTACGTTATGAATAATAAAATATTCTCTTTCAAAAAACAACGTAACTAAATCGCGGTCATTTCAATTTTTCATATTTAATCATTTTATATGAATTGAAATTATAATTGCGTGTGGTTCCCCCCTTTCAAACAGGACAATATGACACAAATTAATTACATTTGTACGAAAAAAAAAGATGGCGGCCACTTCGATTTCTACATAAACCTCGTTATAACGCCTGTAAAGATTGGCCATCCCGATTTAACGCAGAATGCCAAAGTCTAGAGCTTGCGACTGCATAAAAAAACGGTTTAAATCCCACGTAAACTTTCCATAATTTTTAATATAATATCTATTTTAAGAATAGGGACATTATAAAAGATATTAGAGAAGAAGTTTGTCTGTCTGTCTGCTCTTCCAAATATATATATTTAAAAAAAAAAGGCGAAATTATAGGCTCGGAACTAACGTGTCGCATAATATGCGATGGTGTATCATAATTAACTTAACCGATCCGCGGGGCGCTAACCTCATCAGTAGATTTAAAAAAAAAAGGCTTTAGAACGGTGTGCCGAAGGCCACATCAATTGGCTTAGAAAGAAAAAACGTAGCTGTTTCGATAACCCCAGTCATGTTTACTTAACTACCTTTCCTTTAAATATCCAAATCTCTCAATCCATCAGCTCATCCGATGCCCCGCAGCTCTACAGAAAATACTTCCAAATATTAATCACGTGTCAAAACTGCAAAAAGGCAACAACTCTATTAGTAGTCTGGCTCGTCTCGTCGTGTCAAACGAACAAACGCACATCACTTCCCAACAATCTATCGACCGTTTTCATCCAACAAATTTCAATTAGTAAACAAGAAGCAACAGGCATTAGGCATGATCGATTGGGATAACGTGAAATCATTAATCTTTTAATCATTCTAAATATTGATCAATGACTAAGAAACGACACCCAAAATGAAGTAATAATAAATAATTACTGCGGAATCTTGTTATAACGAACACACCGATATAGTGAACAGTTTTGTTGGCCCTTCAAGTATTTATGTTTAGTAAATTGTAAATGTGGTGAATGATTTAGCCATGTTCTTCGAGAGTTCACTACATTAGAGTGGACTCTCGTGTAGTAAACTCTCCCATAGAGAGCGCTTATGTAATAAACTCTCATACAGTAAGCATTCATACAGTGAACTCTCATGTTGTAAACTCTTATCTGGTGAGTTCTAGTGTGGTAAGCTCTCATATTGTAAGCATTTATACAGTAAACTCTCATACAGTGAGCTCTCTTGTTGCAAACTCACATACAGTGAGCTCTCTTGTTGCAAATTCTCATACAGTAAGCTCTCTCTTGTTGCAAACTCTTATCTGGTGAGTTCTAGTATGGTAAACTCTCATATTATAAGTATTCATACGGTAAATCCTCATATTGCAAGCATTCATACAGTAAATCCTCACATTGCAAGCATTCATACAGTAAATCCTCATATTGCAAGCATTCATACAGTAAATCCTCATATTNAAAAAAAAAGTACTGTTTTTTTATATTTTTATTATTATTATTATTTTTAATGCGATTTTTTCTTTTAATAGAAGGAGAAAAAGTCATTTCCTAATTGCCACTTTGGGTATAGACGTGCGACTTTGGTCCAAAAAATGAGGCCTGCCTTGGCAGGTGGACAATCGAGATCGAGGTAAAGACTTTCTCTTGACAAGAGAGGAAACAATGCGGATCTTTCTACTTGAATAGCTTTTGTCCAGACCAAGTGAGGTTGCGGGTATCGCACTTATGTCTGTGAACAGATGATGGCCGCAAATTACAGGGCAACGCCCCGTATGCTTTTGTCCGAAATTTTAGCCTAAAATTATCGAAGGACCTCAAAGAAATCGAGAAAGAGAAGGCCGAAGTAGGGGGGAACGAAAAAATCTTTTGTCCCTTATTTGTTTATTGTGACCGATTTCCTGTTTCCATATAATACAATGTTCCAAAAATGGGAAAAACCGGATAGTTTGTACGTTTCTTCTCTTTAAAATAATAAATCTAGGAGGGGGTCGGGGGGCGAAAACGTTGCCAAAGAAGAACATTTATTAAATAATCTATCGAATAATACATTTTGTTTACGGTAAATTATTAAACTTTACTAGATCACACGCTAGATTTTAAACAGAAAACAATATTGTTTCCATAGGGATTTCCTAAAATGAACATCCCATGTGAAGTAGTTGACCCATATTTCAAAGGGATTTTAAAAAGTGAAGGCCGAGCCAAATACTGATCAAAGATTATTTTAGAGGCTACTATTCGAGGTTACAATATCTTGGACATTAACTAGACTATTATTTTAACTGTTTTATTTATTTTTTTTTCTTCTCCCTTCTCCGCCATTAATTATAAATGCAAAAGAAAAATAATTTACCTATTTTTAAATTTAATTAATGACGGCATATATTTTCATGGATAATTTACATGTTTTTCTCTCATTTAACTTCGAAAAACCTTCGGTTCAAGCATATTTTACTCTTGTTTTCCAGTAATCAATTGTTTATTTATGAACTTAACACAGTCGGTTTGAATAGAATGACATCTTAAACTTATCATTTATCACTTCAGTTTAGGGAAATTCCCCTTTTGTTTTAGTTTCTCCGCTTCTTTCCAGAATTTTTAACAAGTTTAGGGATTTTTTTTAAATTAAAGGGTTGGATATTATATACAGAATTTCCCTGTAATACAGTTTTAAAGTTATAGCACTCATTCTTATATACAAGTCTACCCCCCATAACACTGTTGATAATTCCGTTTTATATGAATTCCATGTTGTACGAGTCACTTAGACTTTACAAATACGTGTACCGGGCTGTGAACGGCTCATGTATTTGTAAAATCTAAGTGACTCGTACAACATGGAATTCATATAAAACGGAATTATCAACACTGTTATAGGAAGGTCGACTGTACTCACTAATAGTAACATACAATCACTAATTATTCACTATATACACACTCACAGCAACATACTAATACGTTATACACTCACTCATAATAAAGCACAATCCTTCATTACTCATTATAGTAAGTGTATTATTACGAATACTCACACACTCATAACAATAACATACACTCATTCATTACTGTAATAACACACACGCTTATACGAACATACTCATTCATTATTCATCATATATGTATTCATAGTAACGTATACACTCATTAATTATAACACTCGTTTCGTTATATGAAAGAGTTTAAAATCATAACAATTTGAATATTTAAAAATTCACTCAAGGGGGGTAAAATAATCAAATTTTGCTTTGTGTAATCCATTAAAAATAAGATTGTACGTTATGAATAATAAAATATTCTCTTTCAAAAAACAACGTAACTAAATCGCGGTCATTTCAATTTTTCATATTTAATCATTTTATATGAATTGAAATTATAATTGCGTGTGGTTCCCCCCTTTCAAACAGGACAATATGACACAAATTAATTACATTTGTACGAAAAAAAAAGATGGCGGCCACTTCGATTTCTACATAAACCTCGTTATAACGCCTGTAAAGATTGGCCATCCCGATTTAACGCAGAATGCCAAAGTCTAGAGCTTGCGACTGCATAAAAAAACGGTTTAAATCCCACGTAAACTTTCCATAATTTTTAATATAATATCTATTTTAAGAATAGGGACATTATAAAAGATATTAGAGAAGAAGTTTGTCTGTCTGTCTGCTCTTCCAAATATATATATTTAAAAAAAAAAGGCGAAATTATAGGCTCGGAACTAACGTGTCGCATAATATGCGATGGTGTATCATAATTAACTTAACCGATCCGCGGGGCGCTAACCTCATCAGTAGATTTAAAAAAAAAAGGCTTTAGAACGGTGTGCCGAAGGCCACATCAATTGGCTTAGAAAGAAAAAACGTAGCTGTTTCGATAACCCCAGTCATGTTTACTTAACTACCTTTCCTTTAAATATCCAAATCTCTCAATCCATCAGCTCATCCGATGCCCCGCAGCTCTACAGAAAATACTTCCAAATATTAATCACGTGTCAAAACTGCAAAAAGGCAACAACTCTATTAGTAGTCTGGCTCGTCTCGTCGTGTCAAACGAACAAACGCACATCACTTCCCAACAATCTATCGACCGTTTTCATCCAACAAATTTCAATTAGTAAACAAGAAGCAACAGGCATTAGGCATGATCGATTGGGATAACGTGAAATCATTAATCTTTTAATCATTCTAAATATTGATCAATGACTAAGAAACGACACCCAAAATGAAGTAATAATAAATAATTACTGCGGAATCTTGTTATAACGAACACACCGATATAGTGAACAGTTTTGTTGGCCCTTCAAGTATTTATGTTTAGTAAATTGTAAATGTGAATGATTTAGCCATGTTCTTCGAGAGTTCACTACATTAGAGTGGACTCTCGTGTAGTAAACTCTCCCATAGAGAGCGCTTATGTAATAAACTCTCATACAGTAAGCATTCATACAGTGAACTCTCATGTTGTAAACTCTTATCTGGTGAGTTCTATTGTGGTAAGCTCTCATATTGTAAGCATTTATACAGTAAACTCTCATACAGTGAGCTCTCTTGTTGCAAACTCACATACAGTGAGCTCTCTTGTTGCAAATTCTCATACAGTAAGCTCTCTCTTGTTGCAAACTCTTATCTGGTGAGTTCTAGTATGGTAAACTCTCATATTATAAGTATTCATACGGTAAATCCTCATATTGCAAGCATTCATACAGTAAATCCTCACATTGAAAGCATTCATACAGTAAATCCTCATATTGCAAGCATTCATACAGTAAACTCTCATCTAGTAAGCTTTTATTTATTGAACTCTCATACAGTGAGCTCTCACATATTAAGCTCTCTTGCAAACTCTCATCTAATAGGCTCTTATATTGTAAAATTTCATCTAGCGTGCTTAATAGCGTGGAATCCTGTAGAAAATTGACTAATTAAAATGCTCAATTAAAATTTTAAACGAGTAATTCTAAGGCTTAAACGGCAACTTGTAAGACGAGTGGATTGTGAAAAACACTTTATCGTATTACAAGTATAATAACACCATTTGATCACGAAGCGTATAAAAAAAAACTAGTAAACTATGCGAAAATTTCTTATCGTATTATCAATTCGAATTAATTTCGAAAATTTTTTTCTTTTTTGTACAACTGAAATTTCGAAGGTGAAAAATCTGTTGGCAGACGGAATCGCAAGGCCCGAGGCATTGTGACGTTAGCTCTACTTCCTCCCAACCTTCTGGGGAAGGATATTCTGACAACTGCGTGCCGCAGGTGGATGGTTGGACAGAAATGGGACGCACGATCTGCCTTGTATCCGCCCGGTTTCCGTTAAAGTAAAGCACGTTTTCTGACCGCCCCTGGGGCCTTCCCTAAATCTGTGGATTGAGCAATGTGGGAGTGGTTAAACAAGTTGTAGAGTAAGATAACAAATGTTCTTTTATCTTTATTCAGACGACTTTCCACTTATTTAATATTCTCATGCATCATGGAATTCCCTCCATAAGCTCCCCTTAATGTCATCCTTCGATGTATTTATTTCGGAGACACAATGCCAGGTATTTCCAAAATAAATATCGTAGATATACAGGTATATAAGCAGCACCATTTATAAACAGCATAAATTAATTAAAATTCTTATGGGCATTATATTTTTGTATGGGTACCATTGTAAGCGTAAGGATTCCCTATGTATCCAGCCATTCGACGCACCAAAAACTACGAAGAATAACTGTTATAACGGGTGATTCATTATACCGAGAGCCTTACTGTACTTATATTTCAAACCTACTTACCTCCTTTGAATTTAATAATGGGTGAAACATGGACAATGCGAAGACTCGATGATGAAAAGGGAGTAGATGGGAGGGGTTCCTGAGGTCACAGGACTGCACGTGACCTTTATGCTGGAGAAAAAAAAGAACAATATATTAGATTGTCAAACATATTTACCTAATTTTTTAAGCACAGTAATGTAATTAAAATTATGTTTTAGCATCATAACCTGAAAAAATAAATAAATAAAAAAGTTTTCTCGTGATATCACGAAATGTAGATAATAATGAAAGGCGTTTTGCTACCTTTCTTCCGCTTCCGTATGTACAGATTTTTCTATTTTAAATATGAAATCGTAATAAAGAATTCGAACATTCGAAACAATTGAAAAGAGTAAGGCACAGAAGCTAGAATTTAGGAAGGAAACGATTTAAAAGGCACAATTCTCATTAATAGTCATTAAGGTTAAGTGATAAATAGAAGCAGGAAACCATTGCGATTCACGCCAATCGTTTTACACTTTCCGCCTCATTTTCTTTCTTCGTACAAACACTAGCAAATTTTCAAATGAAAAAGAAACAACAAAACTTAATTTAATCTTCTAAAATTTCGTTTTCTAAATAAAATATAAATTAATTAAATAATTAATTGAATTCCTAAACAGCACCCGTACCAAAGCTAATTAATTGAGTTCATAAACAGCACCCGTACCCGTACCAAAGCTAATTAATTGAATTCCTAAACAAACGATAATACTAAGTGAAACCAGGAGAAAAGAGCATAATTTTTTTTGGTGTATTTAAGCTATTTTAATACATTTTAAAAGCTATATTCTTGAAGAATTCTTAAGAGAATTAAAGCAAGAATTAATTAGAAAGACTTGCCTTACCATGAGCGTGAACATAATGAAGATGTGAGAATCAACTGATTAAGAGCGAGACTTAGAAAACGAGTAAACAGACCATTTCATTGATTACAGACCCCGATCCGAGTTCCGGTACATCACCAAGTTCTCGGTGATATGTCTTTGAACTCGGCTGTCGCCGGTGCGTATCACTACGACTATTACCAAGTTTTTACACGCTCTTTCTCTCCCCCTTAGATTACAACTAACCACGCCTGGCACGGTGCCGGGAAACAGTGGTGACACTCTCTACGACTCGTCTCCATTACGTTACTTCCTGTCAATTTTCCGAACAAATTAAATGGAAAAGAAACGAAATTAATCGCTCTCCCTTTTCCCCCTCGACGGACATTTCACTTCATTCACCTCTTTCCGATTGGAAAATCTGTCACGCGCCAAATTGAATACCCTCGATTTGTAATTTTTATGCGGGATAATGAATGAGTTGTCATAATTCACTGACAACTTCCCGCTGTAAGCCGATGCTAGAAAATACAAAAGGCTATTAACGAACTTCTTTTTTTTCATATATATATATACATTTTTGTCGTGAATGAAGTCAAATTAGGTTATGTCATTGACAAGGCCACCATCGATTAAAAATTACCTTTTCCTTTCTTTTTCTGTCAGAATTAACTCGCCTTTTTCGAATATTTTCTTAAATAATTAACAGAAGCTGTTTTCTTTGAGGAAAACAAGCAAGAAATCCAAAAAAATCAATGATTTAAATCAGGGTTTCCACCCCTTTTAGAACAATTCTTTCCCGTATACCTCCTCCAATATTATATATATATAAAGCCTTTTATGAGGAAGAATTGATATTAAAATGTTCTTACTTCTTTAGCGACTACTAAATCCTTATAAATAAACTTCTAAAGAAACAATAATGCTCTTAAAGAAGCTCTAAAGAAGCAAAAACACAACGTTCCAGGTTCTCATTTAAATTTTCAGTTTCTTGGGAGGGAAGTACGGTACTTTTGCCAAATATTTTACTAGATTATAGGCAATAAGTAAAGAATAAAATCGGAGAGAGACCATTCCTCCGATAGGAAAACAATTAACAAAAAGAAGTAATCAGTGCAAATAACAATTGCACATTTCGCTTCTTCGGACTTCACGGTCAAGCAATTTAGCCATTGATAACGACACCGTGTGGCGCTACTTGCCACCAGATGGGGGTAACCGGTCGGGGGGAAAGTCTACAAGGGCAGAGGTTGTTTAACTTTGCTCCCGTTTTTGATCGTTGACTTTTTATCATCTGCTTTCTCTGTCATAGTGCAAACAATAGATATTCCTGGTACGGTATGGCAACAAGTCCACAATGTCTCAAAGGTTATAGGCATCGTCTGAGGGCATTTCCAATCGTCCTTGATTCCAAGGTAGAACAACACTCTAATGGTTCTTTATGACCTTATTCTGGGCGTTGTCCCTACGGTAACACGTGTTTGTAAAAGTATTAATGCTGATTTATTCGAGGAAGATACAATTAATTCCTCGGAAGGCATTGTCCATCCTTTTCTTGGTAGGGACCACTTTCAATTGCTAATACGCAAAACCGGGGAAGAAAACACTTAACATTAATAGCGATAAACACCAGCCAACCAGACCCGAAATCATATAAAATTACTCCAAATGTAAGCTCCAAAACACCAGGTTATGGAACTGTATTCGTAACCGGGTGTTGTGGGGCCTTGCGGATCACAATAAATAAACGGCAGCTGAAATGTAATAGTCCTATAGAAATAAAGAATCACGTGCTGTTTAGTAGTTTAGCCTTTACACATTTAAATCGTCTGTAGTGAAGTCAGTACTTGACATCTGCTGTTCTCCCGAGTCCACTTTGCCGCATTTCCCACACTCGACTCCACCTACTCCAACCCCACCCGGTGCGGGACCGGCAACCAGAACATGCGTTGCCTCAGGGGTTAGTCGGTGGTCAATCCCTAAATAGGATACTAAAAATAGCTTCCCAGGGGTCAGAGTCAAATTCATAGTATCGGAGGTCGGATGGGCCAAGGTCGTGGTTATGTAGGAGTTCCACCCCATTGCCAAAGATGTAATTGGATGGCTGTTTTCGGGTCCGAATTTACGGGGAAGGTGCACAGGGCTCCTTTTGGGGGTTTTATCCCCGTTTAGGGGTGCTCTAGAGTGAAATATTTTGTAAGGCGCAGATAGCCTTATACTATAAAGAGAGAGACCCCTGTAAAGATTTCCGTACCTCTCTATCGAGTCCGAATCTTACGAGGATCTTCTTATAAACGCGATTTTTTATTGGATATAAGGAATATCCAATAATAATTACGTATTATAATTGTTTATTTTACGCCGAAAGACGAATAAGTGGCAATTAAATCAACTCTTGCCATTCTTCTCGAGCGTAATGGCGTAACTTCGGAAGCGATGGAGGGGCGAAGGAAAGGAACTTAAAGCAGAAATTCATGAATAAAATATGATGGAATTCGAAGTGAAATACGATCTTTCTATAATAATTCTAAGAATAATCAGAGATTTGCTCATGAATTTTCTGAATAAACGCAATGTTCGTATTCGTTAATACAAAAGAAGCGCGCGGCACATTTTAAAAAGCCATAAAAGAAATAATATATTTATATAAATAATTAATTAATTAACTACTCTGTAATTAGTTTAATAAATCTAATTTTAAATTACATAAAATTTAAAAAAATAAATAAAATTAATTATTCATTTCTAGAAGTGCTCGCGATGGTAGATCCAATCCCTCAGGAGGAATGGCCTTTTGAAGTAGTAAACACTTTGAAACGCTTTTAAATCTAATAAATTCCGATATTAATTGAGAATTTAATTCTAATTAAATAATATTCATTAAAAGTCCTGTAATTTATTACAATATTTTAACAATTTATCGGTAAAAATTTGCTAATTTACTATTACTTAACTCGCGCCGTAATCATTCATGTTTCGGGCATTTTTTTCTCGTTTAAACCGATTGATTAAGGATAATTATAATTAAAAGATAATCGTAATTAATTAAAAATATATTTAAATAAGATTAAAGGAGAAGAAACTGTACGGGAGATTAAATAATCGGCAGTTTCTTGTAAGCATCTGCTTACAAGAAACTGAATGATTGTTGCAAAGAGGAATTTCAAGAGGGAAATTGTTTTAAAGATTTCATATTTAAACGATGATTGAGTGGACTGTCCGCATTAAATTTTACTCGACGATAACAATCTTTCGGATATTTAGTCTCCTCGGTTCCTATACACGACTACAGATGAGCGGGAACAATCCTCTCCACCCCAGTCTGATCCCTCCAGGGGGTGATAAAAGGGGAAGAAGCATGGAACATCTGTCGAGAATCAGAAGACGAGACCAGGCGCACGTCAGAGCACACGAGGCTTAGCTGTAGGCCTAACATGGAAGCTTTTTGTTCTGTCGTCTGTCGACTTTAGGGCTAATCTATGATCGCCGTGTTGAATAGAACCTAGGGGTGGGGCCAGTGGCCCACCATCTGTCGTGGCCGACGCACCAGCTGCCCCTGAAGGCCCGGGGTGGGTGGTGGGGTCTGCCCAGAGTTCCTTTGTTCGCTTCCTCGCCCCCGGGTCACACCTGACATAGTCTAGCTTCGAACGAAAAGTCACGGTGAAGAAAAAGTCTAGTCTTTGAAAAATCCATTGGTCGACGGGCTATAAAAATCCTCCAAAATTAACATTAGTCTTTTCGTGTGTATATTTTTTCGCGCCTAACAATACCCCCAAATTGTATTTTATACCTCCCGAAAACTGGCATTTGAATCGGGGTGCGAACGGAACGAAAAATCCACGATTCGTGAAGTGAAATCACATTTAAAAAAAAAGGAGCCAACATCGTTGCACAAGTCTTCTTTCTTTTTTCTATTTTCTAAGAATTAACCACCCCAAATTTACCTGGTGTATTAATTCTTGGTAACTAACTAACTCCATAGTCTCCTCTTTTTTTTCGGATTAAGGTCATTAAAATATATGAATAGTTATTAAGATCCCAACCCCGTGATCCTAACATCCAGGGGGGGCGTCGATGTCAAGTGAGGTCGGCAAAATGGCACGACATCGTGTCTGTTTATGACGTCAACGGGCGTTACTGTAGGGTGTTTCCTAAAAACAGCATGGGTATGGATAGAAACAGAAATGACGACGCCGTTTTTCTTGGAGTTTTCAAAGAAGACCTTCTGGCAAATTTCACCTTCTAAGTATAATTTTCGTGGCACTCAAATTACAAAAAGAAATCTCTCTTATTTTAAAGGTGAAATGTATGAAAATTTAAACAATTAGGAGGGGTAGACATTTTTTTTGTGTTTTATACAAAATATTCATACCGTATCGTTGTTTTTTTCGAATATATCTTTACCCTGCTTTTAAGAACGGACAAACCCAAGACAGATAACAGAAGGAAGATAAGGACAGATGTCCTGTCTGCCTCCAAACATTTACACAGGTGAGAAGACAGGTGTGTTTTCTATGACGTATTCATTCCTCTACTGTATTCTAACGTCGATATTAAACACTACAACGTTTATTTAATCCATACCCGGAGAAGAAACATTAATTTATACAACATTTTATACCGTATACTACGTTATAAATAAACAATTAAAATTTAAAGTAGAGTAATCGAGTTACGTAAGTAAGGGTAGTGTCTTAAGTTTAACGACACTAATGAATAAATATAGAAGAAATTTTTAATTAATTATGATTAAAACTTAAAGAACTTACCAGGACCATACGCAGGGATTATGAGTACTGAGTTGCTATCCTCAGAACATCCGCCAAAACTGGTCGCCGAAACCTGTAGGAAAGGCCGGTCTCTGAGTGGGAGGGACCGTTATTGTTGTCTCCTTACCAGATTGGTCGATTTATACGAGGGGGTGCCACGCGGGGATTCAACCCCGCTTATGGGGGTGGGTAGGAAGAACGTGCGCCCGTCATCTGCTCTTCTGTTTTTTTTTTTTTTTTCTTTCGTTCCTCCACGACTTGAATACGAAAAAGTAACTCGTACCCTCGTCTTTATGTTCGTGCGTGTGTACTGTATACGTTTGTGCGTTTGTTTTCTAACACGTGCCCCCGTGTGTTACGAATCAACAGTATTCATTATATTGTTGTGTCGCAATATAAATATATTAAATATATATTTATCTGATTAAGGTTAATTCAGATAACCAGAAAGGTCAATTTACAATATGAAAGATAATAATCGTCATGCTCTACATTTATGTAAAAAAATGTGCATACGATCTATTAAACTTTCCTAGTGTATAGCTCGTAATTTAAAACCCAATCGT